AGAAATTTTACAGTAAAATAAATATGTTTTTATAAATACTCTTGGTGTTGAGGAAAAAATAAAAATATATATATAAATGAGAACCTACCTGGGGTTTCTTCATTTCTTCTTTGCAACTCAGTTTCAACTTGATCCAGAACCTTCTCCAACTCATCAAGAATTTTCTTCAAATATTTGACATTGTCATGATCAAGCAGCTTTGACTAATTAAAAAAAAAAAAAAAAAAGAAGTCATTTATGCCTGTAAAAAAAAAAATACAGCAAAGTAGATATAAATTCTGAAAGAGCTGAAGTCTGTTTATTCTGGACAATGGAAAGGGGTACAATAACACTGTTCAAGCAAAAGGAAAGTTGAGGAGGAAATATCTCAGCTGGTAAAACACCCAGAACGCAGACCACTGCTCCCTGGTAACTCTTGTGGGGCCAGACAAGTAGCCACAGAATGTGAGTGGCACAAAAGAGACCCTTATATCCAACTAAGGAATGGCATTTCGGCAGCAGTGGCAATCTCTTCAGCCCTAGATCACACTTTGTTAAATAATCCTCATTAATGCCAATGATGCCACTAATGGTGCTGGGATCTGGGCAAATAAAAATTTTTAAAGGAAATAGTGGAAAAAAATGACAAAGGAAAGAATTTGAGGTGGGAAGAGAGAAATGGAGAGGATTTGGCACAGGACATTTTCACTTTCAGTGATTCTCACGGGACTCTTAAAATCCCTCTGACCAAACACACCAAGTACCACCCAATAACCAAACTCAATCACCATGTTGTAGTCTTCATTTCGTTTATCTTTTCTCTAGCATCTTGACTTTCTCTCCTTCCTTGGATTGCTCTCACTTGCTTCTTCCCATTCTCAATCCCCTATTTCTCAGCTTTCTTCATGAAATCTGCCTCAGGCTAGCATAAACAACTGGGGTTCTTATCAGGAGATCCATGTGCCTTGGAAATTCTTGAATTATGTAGGAGTTCCATGAACCCGCTGAAATTGTATACTAAGTGTATGGAGTACGTGTACATCTCTGTTGAGAGTGCCCATAATTTTCATCAAGTCTTCAAAGAGGATTGATATAAAAGTTTCAACCCTGCTCTAAACGTTGGTGCTCCCCATAGATCAATCTTTCCTTTTTACTCTTCAGGATTGTCTAAGTAGTTTAATCTATTTGCTCGGTTTCTAAGATGAAAACTAAGTATCTATAACTTTAGCCCAGAACAATCTATTTCTATATGCAACTTCCTCCAAGATATCAAAACCTAAAAGTTCCCTTGGAACCTGAGATGCTACGTGTCTAAAATCTTATCCTTTATCCCATGCCCACTCCTCCACCACCTGCTCTCACAGTTATAATCTAACTTGCTTAAACCACCATCTACCCAATCATCCCAGAAATCTGAGAATCATGTTAGAGGCCTCTCATTCCCTCATACTTCCCACTGTCTCAGAACTAGCCCCATATAGTCTATCCCCCTAAAACCTTGAGAATTCTTGCTCCCAATCCCCACTTGTCCAATTTGGTTTAAGCTGTCATCTCTGCTTGTCTGGAGCTCTGGTAGCATCGTGCCTAAGGCATCTGACTGCTAACCAGAAGGCTGGCAGTTCAAACCCACCAGCCACTCCTTGGAAGGAAGACTGGGCAATCTACTTCCATAGTGATACCACCTCAGAAACCCAAGGAGGGGTCACTATGAGTCAGATCTGACTCCGGAGCAGTGAGTTTAGTTTTTTGGTTTGTCATCTCTGCTTATCTGGATAGAATACAGTTCAGCAACAGGTCTTACTCCCTCCAATCCATCCTCTACACTTTTACCTAATTATTGTTTGTATCTTTTCTAACTCAAAAATTTCTTAACTTCAATGGTTCTGACATGCCTGCCTACAGGGTCAAGTCCAAACTCAGTGCGGTATTCTAGGTCTTCCCTGATTTACCTTTTGACTTTCCTCTGAACGACACACCCTACACTCAAGCTCTTGCAGTCATCACTGTGCCTTTGCTCTCTTTGGAGAGACCTTTGTCCTGCCCCACCAATTAAGCTACCTATCGTGTTCTAAGACTAAGTTCCCCTTTCTCTGATGCTTTTCATATCTCTCAATGTTAAAATAACTACTCCCTTCTTTATAAGACAAACTTGTACCCCACAACATGCCTACATCATCGCACCTGCACCAAACCATAATGTTCCAAGGCAAAGAACTATGTCCCTAACACCAAGCCCAGGATCTGAACCACAATGGACCTTAAATTAATGAATAAGTTAAGGGTCAGAGATGAAGGAGAAATCTGCATGTGATGAGTGGAAAGTAAGGAATATGACAGTGTCTATAGATGTTTCTTTGAGGATCTCATTTAGCTGAGATAGGATAAAGAAAGATGGGATGTTGAGAGAGAGCTGGGAATGTGAATATATGTTATATTTTATTGTGGTAGAAGCTTGTTGCCATGCTGGAACATGGAGAAGGAATCAACAGAAAGAGAAAGATTGACCATAACCAGTGAAGCAAAGCTCTGCTCCTTTAAGGGGCTGGAGGGATTGGGGTCAATGTGATCTCTACAAGTCAGTGTGTACCACGTAAAGGCACACCTATAGGTAGCTATGCTAAGCTTTAAAGTGGCAGAAATACCTGAAAGCACAGATTCCTGGAATAGTTTATTAACTTGCTTTTACATTTTACTACATTCCTTGGCAACGAGCATGTATAGCATCTGCTTTTTAAACAATTGCTATTAGGTTTGAATATCAAATCTAACAAGGATAAATCTTTCTAAAAGCAGAGCATAAGCCTAAGGTAATGCATATACTAGTGAACTGCTACACCTAATAGAAGATGTTCTAGAAAGTAGTATCTTACAAAAAATAGAATATTTAATACAAACAATGGATGTCAGTTGAAGAGAGCCCTGGCTTACTTTACTTACTTTAAGACGCTTTTGTTTTGCAATGTACGCCTCTTGTAAATCTGGATTTTCTTCAGCAAGTTTCTTCAATTCAGACTCTGTGTTACCTATTTGGCCTGATAATCAAAACATTTTTGAAATAGAAAAAATTATTTTCTCCCTTCTATATCTGAAACAAGGAGAAAAGATGATACTTGATGTTAAGATAACAGGTTCAGAGAGCCTTCCTCTCCCTTTGACTCACTCTCTCTGTGCTTCAGTTTCCTCATCTGTAAAACAGAAATTTAAAAGTACCTGCTGCACAGGATGAGGAGTAAATGAGAAGCACCATGAAAAGCATTTACAGCAATGCTAGGCACATAACAAGTGCTCAGGGCAGGCTAGCTGTACTACTACTTTCCAAATTATCTGTAAGGGATTTTTGTAAGACGGGGGTGGGAAAAGCTTTATTTAAAAAATAATTATAATAGGTGATAGAACTATAGCCAGAATACTTGTTTCAAATCATATAATCAGTATTTATGAAAAGGAGAAGAAACAGGAGGAATGGGAGAAGCAGAACAGGGCTCGGAGAAAAGAGAAGGGAGAGGAGAATCCCAGGAGATTCCCAGGAGAATTCCTAGGCAGTTCCCAGCTTTCCTGATTCCCAGTCCATCTGTCCATGGAAATATGTTCTTTGCTTTTCCACAAGCCACTCTTTTTTATCCAAATTCTATTCAAGCTTGGCCCTGATGGCCAAGAGATGGAAAATCAGGTCTATAGACAACTGAAGTGTTGAACCATCCACTGAACCACTGAAGCACAAATTAATCAGACTTAACTCATTTATTTCTTGGTTTGAATATTTCATTTAGAAATCTCTGAGCATTGCGTATTCATTATAAGAGTTGACAATTCAGAGTTGCCCTCAACACAACATTTCAGGCAAGATCTCACATGCCAGACCATTTTTAACGTGCATGCACGTTCACAAAGAGCTCAACAATCCTATTCCCAGTCTTCTCTGAATGACCATGAGACAAGTCAGGTCTCCAGAATGAGTGAACAGAAACATAAGACAGATTTTTCAAACTTTTACATACTGCGAATCCTTGTTGTTGCATAAGCTGGGATCATGGAGTCCACAGTTAGTTCAGGATGTAAAATGCAGCCATGTGTATAGGCATCCATTGGCAAGGAGTCAAGTAGCTCTCGGTAATGTTGTACTCGTGGGTAATACATACTTTCTCTATCAGGCATTAACCTGGGTGTTTTTTCTAAAATAAGCAAACACACACACACACATTAAAGGAAAAGTCACAAACAAAAATACACAACTTCCTCATTATCAACATTTTCAACATTGTATTAGGACACTTAAAAGATGCTGTCTCCCTAGCTCAGATATTCAAAATATGAAAATGGCCTGAAGCATCAGACCAGATCCCAAACTTCTCTCAGTTCTCCACCTTGCACATGGCTGCTTATCCCTCAAGGTCTGGTTATTTATGCCACCTCCTCCATGGAGCATTCCCTGGCCTCTGACTGGGTCAAGTATGCTTCTCTGTATATTCAAAATGCCTGGTACATACTCAATTATAGCCCTGATCACCCAGTAATTCGTTGTTTTTATCTTTTGTCCCATGCCCCTTCAGAGCACGGCTCCTATGATCCAAAGTCTAGCACAGTGCCTCACCCATTTTAGGCACTCAGTAAAGTTTGTTTGAGTGAATGAAGAATTCAGTATGGGAAGATGATCAAGGGCCACTCTAGTCTGGGTTCCAATCAACACCGAAAGTGATTCAGTTGATGCTATATGAGTATGAAATGACCACCTCCATGCAATGGAAAAGGCCTTTGCCACAGTTATACTTTCCCTTGGAATTTCTAGCAGTAAATCTCTGGGAAATGAATTTTCATTAAATCCTCATTTTCTGGTTAAAATGTACACCATAGAGTCCTTGACAGTATTGTCCTCTGTTGACTCTCCAGTGCCTACAATGATGTTTGGCATACAGCAAGTGTTCAGTACATTTCAATTAATTAGTTAACATATCCTCAAATTTCCGGTTATTATACAATACTTGAGCTGGAGAAGTTCTGTAGTAGTTAAGGAGGACACTGAGACATAGAGGCTGGAATGTTCTCCCAAGATCCCACAGCTAATTAGTGGCAGAGTAAGAACCCAAGTCCTCTATATCTGTATCCAGTACTCTATTTTATTAGATCACAGTAACATCTCAAATAGCTTACATTTCAGAGACTATCCAAGAAGTCCACATGACCCCAAGATCAGAGCTATATCTCTTCAGAATCATTTCCTACCTCTGTCTAAACTGTCCCTGAAAAATGCCATCTAGGGATCTCTGGTAACGTAGTACCTAAGGCACCTGACTGCTAGCCAGAAGGCTGGCAGTTCAAACCCACCAGCCACTCCTTGGAAGGAAGGAAGGGCAATCTACTTCCGTTGTGATAGCACCTCAGAAACCCTGGGAGGGGTTGCTATGAGTCAAGTCCTACTTGATGGCACAGAACAACAACAACAGTTAATTCCTGCTAGTGAAAAGAATCGCCTCAATTTTCTTTACTCATTTATTTCTTGGTTCGAATATTTCATTTAGAAATCTCTGAGCATTGCATACTCATTATAAGAGTTGACAATTCAGAGTTGGTTGCCCTCAACACAGCATTTCAGGCAAGATCTCACATGCCAGACCATTCTAATAGAAACAGGGGCTATTAACCTGGAGTACTTGGTTAATTAGTAGAACAAACTTTTTAAGCCAGAAGACTATTTCTGACTCAATTTAAATAAATAAATAAAAACTCGGATTGTTCTTCAAATCAAATGTATAACTCCCTGCTGGGCAGTCTATTTCTGAAGGCTGCATTAGAATAACCAAAAATGAAATATCAGCTACATACCACTCCTCCACAGTGGATTTACACAACTAGATAACACTTCATTGCTGGCTCCATATGGAAAGGAGGCAGGCAGAGTCGCTGTGTCATGCAGTCTTTCAACACAAAGGTCTCAACCACAGGACCTCAATTATCCCAACCAACCAGGATCCCAAGCAACCCAAGGTAGACATTTCCACGAGAAAAGGAGGCCTTCAAAGAGCCCTAAATTTCTAAAGAGTTCTTAACCTTTCTGAGTCATAGACCTGGTGACTGGACCTCTTCTCAAAATAATGTCTTTAATTGAGCAAAATACAAGGCATAGGATTGCATAGGCAATAGATTATATTAAAATACAGTTATAAAAAATAATTTTGTTATAAAATAATAATATATGTGCCTCTTTGTTAATACATTAACAACATCCAGCAATATGTCTAATAATTACCACAATTTCAAAGGAATCATGAGCATAAATGATATTTTGAGGTATCTGCAATAACTCAATATGCTATGAACATGTTTGTGACTTCTAATGGTAACAAAGTCACAGACACTTCCAGTATTGATGTGGATGATGCCTACATTGGTAATGGAAAGAAACTGTAAATATGTTACATATTAGTGAAAATAAAGATGCTGCCTACACCAAAATCTCAAATTTCCTGAATTCTATTAATAGATCCTTTAGAGCAACAGTTTTCCAAGTATAGTCTGAGGATCCCTGGAGCTCCCCGAGATGCTTTTAAAAGTCAATAACATCAAAACTCTTTTTATAATAATACTAGGATGTTAACTGCATTTTTCACTCTCATTTTCTCTGAGTCTACAACAGAGTATTCTCTGACAACACATGTAATGACGCCATCACTATGACAGCTAATGGAACATGTGCTTGTGTGTTCTTCTGTTTCAAAACTTTCCTCATTTTAATTCGTTACATGGTAAATGCCGATGTTTATAATTCATATAAGTAAAAACACTCTGTGTCCTCAATAAATTTTAAGATAACGAAAAGGTCCCAAGACCAAAAAGTTTAGAACCACAGCTTTAGGACCTTAGGTTAATAACCTTGATTCTTATCATACATGATGCAACATTTAAAGATGCCTCCCATATGCTCAATGGGTACTGCCTCTGACTGCTTTCCAGTGCCCTGCCATAGGGCATGTCTCCAGAAAAGCATGACACTTCCTTCCTGGAAAAGTAAACTAAACCAAAACCAAAACCAAACCCATTGCCACAGAGTCGATTCTGACTCATAGCAACCTTATAGGACAGAGTAGAACTGCCCCATAGGGTTTCCAAGGCTGTAAATCTTTACACAAGCAGTCTGCCTCATCTTTCTCCCATGGAATAGCTGGTGGGTTTGAACTCCTGATCTTTTGGTTAGCAACCCAATGCTTCAACCACAGTGCCACCAGACATCCTTTGAAAAGTTAACTAGATAAGGAAAATAATGTCTAACTGCTTTCTGAGGAAGTTCCATCTGGCCACACCTGGATTCTTCCAAGGAAGACAGATGTTTAGATCCATAAACAATTTTTTCTACTCAGTTACTATATAACTATTTTCTGAAACATTTGTCAGACCAAGCACAAAATAAACACAGATCCCCAGTTTCCTCCAAGTCTCACTTTCTCTCCTTGCATTCTTCCCAAAACACCCTATCCAGTATCCCATGTGCAACATGCTGTCACCTTCTTCCTCATACAAGAGCACAACACTGTCCACTGCCTCTGGAAACAGGGTTTTTCAAAAGGCACTTGGGAATTTCTTTCCACTTATAAAAGGGACCTTCCCTCTCATTCCCATCCTATTTTATTTTCCAATCTTCCCACAGAACACTTTCTTTAGAAGAAGCGGATCTGCTCCTGTTGTTCCACCTGAACCAGGAGTAGGCAAGGAATAGAAGGCTTTCAGGAGCAAGACAGAGAATCAGAGAACTGAACGTTCTTAAGAAGCAGGTAACAAGACGATATGCCAGGACTAGAGTATCTCATTTATTTGGGGATTGGATTGGGGGGGGGGGGATTGGGAGGAAGCTCCATTAATGGAAGCCAGGCTAGGTGACTAAGGTCAAGACATTAAGACTGAACTTCCTAAAAGAACTGAGTAGGGGACAAGGCAGGGCTTACATTGTGCATAAACTTAAGCAGCTAATTAGAAACAGGCAGACACACAAAAACCAGAAAGTTGTGATCAAACGATAAGAGAAACTAAAAGTTAAAAAAAAAAAAAATCCAGACAGAAACAATAAAAGCATTCTACAGCCATTAATGGGGACAAACAAACAGCCCTGTACATTCTCAAGTCCCTGAGAGTAACACTGTATTGATGGGTAGAATAACAATGGCTCTGAACCATTTGGAAAAAAAAAAAAAACTAAATTGCATTCAGTTTCCTCAAGAGCAAAAAATAGAGTCTAGGGTTTAAGGTCTAAACTTCCATTATTTTACTAAATTCACTGCCGTGATTTCCTACATTCCTCAGTGATGGCAGATACAGGAGGCATCATTATGCTTTATTTTCAAGGAATACTCCCCCTTTCATCTATTCAAATAACGTTCAAGCCCTCCTCTCTAGCTCAATGAAAACTGATTAGACTTTATTTCTAACCCTATCCCTTTGCTGAGGAGTCGGGTGGTACAACACTTCAGTGCTTGGCTGCTAAATGAAAGGCTGGTGGCAAGTTAGCAGCTCCGTGGAAGAAAGACCTACTAATCTCTTCTCATAACAATAACAACCCAGAAAAGCATTTTCTATGGGGCAGTACTACATGGGGTCACTATGCGTCAAAACTGACTCGAAGGCACCTAACAACATCCGTTTCCTGGGTTCCCTGGTAGTGCAAACCGAAAGCTTAGTATGTTGAACCACAAAGCAGTACTATGGAAGAAATGCGTCCATTAAAATTAGCCAAGAAAACATATATGAGGTAATATCCATAATATAACTGAAGAACATTGTACCCTTCAACTAGTCACATGCAAGGCTATTTAAAAAATATGATAAATAATTAAAAATATCAAAGATATGGTTACTAACTAACTATAATTCAACATTGTCATAACTTTGGGACTAGAAAACTCAAATTTAAGTACAGATGAGAAAAAAATACATGGTGTCAAATTATATAAATTCACTACATACATACATGATTTTCTAAGACAACACCAAATTTGTAACATTCTTTTCAATAAACTGTTTCCAATAAATGTTTAACTACTTTTGATTGAATTGGTATTATTCTTCAGACTTTTAACAGAATATCTGTAATCAGTGGTTCAAAACTCCTTTAGGAGACAGTTTGCTGTCTGATACAATTGTTGGAAACTAATAGAACAAGGGTCTCTGTATTTTAATATTCCCTCCG